CATACGGACAGTCATGTACTCTGTAGAACTGTAACCTGTGATGCCTGCTCTATATGGACAGTCATGTGCTCTGTAGAGCTGTAACCTGTGATGCCTGGTCCATACGGACAGTCATGTGCTCTATAGAACTGTAAACAGATTCTGTTTGATTTTGTAAACAGATACAGAATCCAATTTAGCTTTTAAGAGATAATAATTTGCAGTGTTGTGGTAGTAATATTTTTGAAGTTGGGAGATGGAAGACTGCAAGGTTATTCATCCTCATGCTGGGTACAGGGGAGACTAAAATAAGCCTTAGGAATGTGGGGCTCTAACACATGTGGAACATGTGTAATGCACGGCCTGCCACTGTGCTTCCCTCCTGCCAAGGCACAGCAAACTGTCACCGGGTGGCAGCCCCTGGTGGAGTTTCTTTGGGTGTCTCCTGCTCCTTCACCCGAATCCACGCACACAGTATAATACTCGTAGGCTTCCCAGGCAAGCATCTCAAACTCTGGGCTTCAGATTTTAAAACCTGTTTCCTGTGTTGTCAGCACTTCTCTCAGCTCTTCAGGTGACAGCTTTCTTTCTCAGCTCTCCTAACTGGTGTGAGGGATATACCCGACTGGTTAACAGTTCTCTCTCAAGAGGGAGGAAGGGGCACAAAGGCAAAGTACATTGCTTCATTAACAAGTCAGAGGATCGTCAGACAGGACGAGTCTCTAAAAGAATGATCTAGAATTGTCTAGAATGTAGGGTGTTGTGAGCAGTAAGTCAAGCTTTCAGACGTGAAGAGGCCTTTGTTTGTACAGGTATTTCGGACTTTCTACTGTGGTGACATAGGAGTGCTGGCATGTACAAGACTCTTGCTAAGCATGACAAAATGTCCTGTATAAAACACTACCAAGCCGTACGAAACACAGTCATACTTAGTGCTTACCCTATAAATACCGAGAAAGCAATCCTGGGCAACACACTAGCCAGTGGAACCCAACAGCCACAAAAGGATCAAATGCCATGAACAGGACTCGTCCCTGAGTGACAGACTGACTCAGCATAGGCCATGGGTTAATGTAACATGTGATGTCATCAGGTGAAGACCTATGTGATGCTCCGTACAGATGCAGAGGAAACATCTGAAGACCGCAGGAACAACAGTGTCCTCACAGTGTCTCCCCGGGACTGCTCAGGGCAAGGGGCAGCAGAGCCTTGCCTTTGCATTTAGGCTGAACACAACTCAGCATCACAAACCCTGTCAGAGGACCAGTTCTTACAGGCAGACGTTCTAAAGAACACACAGCCCACCTTGCATGAAGTCTGAGGTATTAAATGACCACTGCAATGGTGCAGCCGTGGCATCAGCACAGACAGGCCAGGTGCATCTCACACGATCCCACACTCACCTTGGGAAGAACATTAAGAAAATTGTACCCATAACTGCATCAGAAAGAAAATATTCAGGAATGTATGTACCCATGGAGGAAAAACACTAACACACTGAAAACTACATACTGAAGAAATCGTAGAAGAGTCAAATAACAGAACCCATCGGTTTCTGTGGATTATGACATTTCTCCTTGTTAAGTGACAACACTACTCAAACCATCTGTGGAGTCTTGTGATCTGAGGAATGCCTGATGGCCATCTCTCAGGAACTCACGGGGAATGCCAAGGTATGCAGAACAGCACAGCAGATTTAGATAAGAATAAGCTGGCCATGCATTGACACTTTTGTTCCAGAGCTTACTAGCACGTGGCAGTAAAGCAAGCTGCACAGAACTGGCAGAGAAAGCGAGAGAGAGTGGAGCAGGACAGAACTGAGACCGCAAACAAGTCCTGGAACATCTGGCCAGATGATTTAACAAGAGAAACAAGATCATTTAACAGGGAAAACAAAGCAAAACAGAACAGCCATTCAACAACAGGATTCAAAAAATGACACCCACTTAACAAAAAGTAAGTCAGTTTCCTTCACACCACACATAAAATAAGATCAATGCCGTAAATTTAACAGCTAAAACTAAAACGTTCTAAGAAAAAATAGAGGGTAAAGTCTTCAAAATCGTACATTTGACATCAATTTCTTAATTGTGATTAAACATACCAAAACAAGCGAGTGAAGGAGAAACTGGGTTTGAAGGAAACAATGGCCCTCTCAGCATGACCTACAACTGTCTTTACTTGTATAAAGCTTCAGTTGTTTAAAGTGGTTGCTCAGTTCGCTGACTGAGTACCTCCTGGGCTGAGCTGCAGGATGGGTCTAACAATTCTAGGACAGTCTGAGGGATGCTGTCCTGGTTGGGTTTGGTCACCTTGACACAAACCTAGATGTATCTGGGAAGAGGGAATCGCACCTGATAAAATCCTTTGGAGTGGCATGTAGGCAAGCTTCTGGGGCATGTTCTGAATTAGTGACTGAGGCCTGAAAGCTCCCTTGCTCTGTGGCAGCACCGATGAGGATGTCCCCAATGCTCCCCACTGATACTCACGCTGCCTTTGGTGGCAGGATGTATTTTGTTATATTAAGAAAACATTCACCTACTCATTTTCTCTGTTATTTCAAAATTAAGTGTAGACATTGATTTTTGGCAGGCCCCTTCTCTGTATCTCAGGGTGACTGACCAAGGACCATTTTTCTCAATGGTCCACTAGTCTGACTGTGTGAGTGCGATACACGTACGAAAGGATCTGTTTCTGGAGTCCAATGAGCGTCTACTCTGTCTACTGTCAATGTGCTTCTGGATTCTGTGTGGTGATATGACAGCTGTGAACACTTTCATATTAACATTTTTACATAATAAGTATTATGACTGATGCGTACTTTCCCATCTGTTTTAGTTCTTGATTTGTGCTGCTTATAAGGAAAGAAAGTCGCTCTGAGGAGGAAGGGATCACACAATGAGAAGGATGGGTCTCTACCTGTCAGTTCTGAGGCATCACTGGCCCATTGTGAGTGGGGCATCCCTGGGGTGCACGTAAGCCTTAGTGAACCTTTCTTTCCCAAGTTATTTTTGGTCAAAGTGTTTTGCCACAACAACAGAAACCCTAACTAAGGCAGATGCTGTAACAAACAAATGTCCCTGAAGGATCTGGAAGAGGACAATGGATGGACAGGCCCAGAGGCCAGGCATAAGCCATCAAGAGGCCGACAGACAGCATGACAGACAGCATATTCCCAGCATCCCCAAGGGCCCCAGGCAGAGAGAGCACTGTTGCAAATCCAGCAAACAATATGAAGTCACAGCGAGAAGGAACAGGCGGTTTCTGAGGAGTTCGACCACAGCTCTGATTGAATTTTACATCTACAGGAGGTGTGAAAGATCTAGCAGCCCATGGGGAAAGTTCACAATTGTGACCAGCATGTGGGATGGAGTCCACATGACAGGGACCAACTAGCCAGTTCTGGTAGACAAGTTACGAGGCAGGCGGACAGGACACATATCATTGCAAATGCACTTCTGAAAACTTTCCAATCTTGGTAAAAGCCACAGACCACACTTCAGAGTCCTGGACAGAAAAAGTACGAGCATTACTACACAGGGACCACAACCAAACTTCATCCATGGGAAAACAACAAAGAAGAAAGATGAACACAGAAAGCTAGCACAGCCATGGCAAGGAGGCTCCCATGGAAAGGGGGCCGTCTAACCAGGACCCACGGTGGCATCTGGTCTCAAATGTCCATTGATTGGTGAACAAATGATGAAGTTGGGCATCAGACAACTGGGTTGCTCAGAAGAAAAGGAACACCATGCTGTAATGAACACCCATGCCGATGACTCTCAGAAAGGGTGTGTGTTCTGAGAGAGCCTGGTGAAAAGTGGATCTGGGATTCTACTGAACAAGAACATTACAGAAGGTAAGACCTCATCCACAGTGATAGCAAACAGTGGTGCACGGTGGGAGAGTTGGCAGGAGGGAATGCAAAGGTTCCTGGGACACTGTGGCAGCAATGTTTCTACAAGTATAAACCAAAACTTAACCTATTTTTTATCTTCAATATGAACACATTAATGTTTACTGATGATAGCTCAATAAAACCTTTAAAAAAGGTATACTTGAATCATAATTAACATATTACTTCTTTTAAGGAAAATGATTCTCAGGTGAGAGAGAACTTTCCAGAACAAATGAAGCATGGACTATGGCAGTGTGCTCTTTACCACAAAATGTGTCTCCAGTTCTGGGGGTGGCCCTTGGCAGAAGGGGCCAGAATCCCCAATGTGCCCATTTGAAATTAGACTTAACATCAGGAATTCAAAAAGTTTGCCCTAGTAAGTTCAATGAAGTTCAGTGCCTGCCTTTTGTGGCACCCTCCCTACAGGGACTGCTTCTGAGGGAATGTGAGAGCACTGTATCTGGAATGTCTATATAGCATAGCCTAGATTTACAGATTAGGCAGAAGGCCATCTAATTCCAGCCATGGGGTCTTTCTGGCTCCTCAGTGCTGGGGGACAGACGGAAACTGCCTCAGCAGGAGAACAGCCTCCAGCATAAACTAGAGGATGGCTTCTCATTACTAGTCAGCAAACAAGAAGGCAAGGTAATGTCAGAAAGCACTGAGGCTCAGGGGAGAGTCGGAAACCGTGGTCTGCAGAAGAGAGAGGGACTTACCACTGCATTGCGCTCCACTCGAGACCGGACCTGGTCCACTTTGCCTTCGATCACTCGGGGAAATATTGAAGAATCTGCTCCTTTGCAGAACAGATAAATTTCCCCTGGAAAATGAGTGGGAAAATAATGTTGAATTTAATTACTACATGGGGAGACAAATTTATTTTTCTTTTTTCTTTTTTTAAAAGACTGATTTGTTTATGTACATGAGTACATTGTCGCTGTCTTCAGACACACCAGAAGAGGGCATCAGATCTCATTATAGACGGTTGTGAGCCACCATGTGGTTGCTAGGAATTGAATTCAGGACCTCTGGAAGAGCAGTCCGTGCTCTTAACCGCTGAGCCATCTCTCCAGCTTTTCAAGTTCTTTTCTTAATGAAAGCAAGCAAGTCCAGTGTGGAGACCATTTTAAAGGCCATCACAAAGGGGTGGTTAATACATTAAGACCGAAAAGAAGTATGATCCATGGAACACGCTGGCCTCGTTTGATTCCTATTGCCTTGGAACAAGCAGGGCTCTGGATGCTCAGACTCCCAGTGAGAAGCAAAAAACTTCCTGGCACTAGGGTTGAGTGAGCATAACAGAGCAAGGATGTGCTGCTGACTGGAAGGGAGTGTTCAAACATCATGAAATACCAGAAGGTGACAGTGTGATTCCTCCTGAAAGTGGGTCTTCCATGGACAACCCATCCTTTGTATCACAAGTGTCATGGGAATTCCATGGACAACCCGTCCTTTGTATCACAAGGGTCATGGGAATTCCATGGACAACCCGTCCTTTGTATCACAAGGGTCATGGGACACTCTACCGTCCAGCACATCTCTAGTCTTGTCCTCAGGGCTCTGAGCACCTTTGTGCTGGATATTCGTGCTCCTTTTCTCAACACAGAGAAATTTCTCCTTCCAGGTCAGAGACATTAACAGACAGCAAAGACTCGGTGGAGGCATTGAGAAGCCAGCTCTGATGTGGCCTGCTCAGTCCACATGCTCTGCAATGTCTCAAGTCCAACCCTCAGCTACCCTGCTCTGTGAAACACGAGCTAGGCCCACACTGGGTCATCTTGCTCAGCAGCTATGCAATCTCACGCCTGCACTGTATGCAGCTTCTTGCTGAATAGAACGTTTGGGTCTAGCTACAGAAACATCACAGTAAACCGGAAGTGGTGGTGTACATCTTTAATCCCAGTAGGGAGAGACAGGCATGTCCCTAAATTTGAGGCTAGCATGGTCTCAATGTGAATTCCAGGACAGCTAGTGCTACATGGAGAAACACTGTCTCAAAAAGCCATAATAATAGATAATAATAATAATAACAACAACAACAACAGAAAAGAAAACACCATTGTGCATCCCAACGGCAGCAAAGCTGAAAAAGGACATGGTTTATGTTTCCAGGAAGGTAGGATACCCAGATCCCTTATAGAGACAGGCTCCTAAGCCCCCAACACTGAAGATGCTTGGAAGTGTGTGGAGACTCAATCCAGAACTGTCTGGAGAGGGAAGAAGGACACAATTCTGGGGTAAAGACTGGGATCAATTTAAAAGGCACAACTATTTGACAGACACCCACTTGTGCTATTTCCAAACTGTGGGAAGTATTAATGCTGAAGATGCCTACACAGGAAACACTGGCAACAAACTTGACTGTTGTTCAACATCTCCTGAAAGGTGCAGAAGAGATGGGGCCTCCCAGGAGGGACCATCCGCACTAGGTAGGAAGAATACGAGGCAGCTCCCAGTTGAATGCTGTGGACACCTGGAGTGTCTAGGAAGGCATTCTAGGGGGAGGGGCTGCCACTTCACACCATGATCCAGGAGGGGGAAACACGGCTGGACAAATAGTCCACCGGGAGGCAAGGAGATGGGTGGCACGGACTGGGGACACACCCACAGCGCAGGCTCTGACACCGGAGTCCTGTGAGTGCTGGGGAGCAGTCAGCCCACTGTGAGGGACGGGAGGGGATGAGACGCATGTCTGCTGTTGTGGGGATTCCTCTGGAGAGGATGACATGAGACTAACTCAAGGCCTTCTAGACAAGACGCTGCCAGGGAAGGAGCTGACCCAGTGCTGCATGGTGGGAAAGAGGCAAGTGTCCACTCACATGGAGATCACGTGTCAAGGTCAACCGGAATCCCCTGGTCAAGGGGCCCCACTGTGCCCACTCCTTCACCACCCACACTCGAACCACAAACCAGAATGTCCAGCTTCCAAATAAAGATCCAATGTCACAGCAACCAGACAGCCAAGAACTCAGGGTCATTAGTTAGTATTCTAAATTCTAGTACAGAAATACCTGCAAACTCATACTGTGTGTCCTTAAATACAATTAAAACACGAGCTGTTTTTTAGATGCGTGTGGAGCGAAGTGCAGGACGTGCTTAGGTGATGAAGTGTTTATGGAGGCCAGCCTGTACTTACTCCTTTCCAAGGTTGTTGTTATAGAGTTTACCTGTCTTTTAGAAAGTGGGATAAACGGAGAGGGGGAGGTAGCTCAGGTGGTAGAGTCTTCCTTGAAAGTATGAAGACCTGGGTTCAATTCCCAGAGCCCATGTAGAAAAACAGCTAGGCAGGGTAGCATGCATTTGCAAATTCAGTGCTGGAGAGACAGGGACAGGAGGATTTCTAGGGCTTCCTGGCTAGTCCGGCTAGCCTACTTGGTGAATTCCAGTCAGTGAGGGAACATGTCTACAATTAGCAAACAAAAAAAAGAGGGGGCAATGCCTGGAGAATGAGACCCAAGGTTGACCTTTGGCCTACACACAAACACAATATGAATGTACGCACACACACGCACACACATACACATGGGATAAATCATTCTTATGTCCTAAACCTTTAATTATCCAGAAGAATTCACCATCAGAACATAACCACTGCTGTACCTGTAGTAAATTTCAGTCATGTTAACCACCGCCATGTCATGTTAGAAGCTGTATCTGTAGATTTCACAGTCACACTAACCACCAACATGTCATGTTAGAAGCTGTACCTGTAGTAGATTTTACAATCACGCTCATTCTCCTCCGCACAGAGTCAAAGGTCAGCACTTCCAGCAATTCAAATCTGAAACAGAAGTGAGACACATTAGTCTCTGATGCCACAGCAGGAAGGAGGCATTTCCGCCTCTCTCTGGGGCCCGTCCATACTGTGTGTGGGCCCCCTGGGATGTTCTGGCCCTCACAGAATGTCCACCTCTAGCCTCGTGCTGGGATTAGTGCTTAAGAGTGGTCACAGGTCAGTCCAGCTCTGACTCTTCCCAGAAGAGTCATAATATCTATCTATGTCTCATTTGGAATACACGACTCTCCTACCATGTCTGCAAACCTCTCAGGCAGACCCACTGGGGCACAGCCAGCACAGTCATGGTCTCTGAAGCACAGTGGTAGGCAGACCTGCCTCTCACACAGGGCCTGGGAGCCTCATTCCCTTCTTCTCCCGTGGCATTGCATGCAGACGGCTTCTCACCTCTCTATGTCATTCTCCCTGTTCAGGATTTCCATGTAATTGTCCTTCAGTCTCAGGTATGTGAAACCAAGCCTGCAACAGAGAAGGCAAAGCCAGTGCTTGTCTGACATCTGGACAAGAGTCCTCCATGGGGTTTTTATCTCACATGGAGACAGACTTTCTTGTAGAGGAAATACTTTCAGAGAGACAGGTTGCTCAGGACACAGGAGTTCGGATTCATTTGCCACCTCAGACAATGACCCAAGAGTATGCACCCCTATGGTGATGAGGTGCCATCTGTGGGTGCTGATAGCTGGTGGGAGGCCAGCCCCAGCAGTCTGCAAACCGCATTCCCTGCTCCTAGCCAAATTTTGGTAGCTGATCAGGGTCGCTCCTCCACAGTGTGAACAGTCACCAAAACCACTGAGCTGGAAAGTGGACCCTGGGAAAGTGTCAGGAGTGGTTGGGCAGGAACACATCACCTCCCGTGAAATGACTAATATGGCCACCACAGGAGAGGGCTCCACATACATAGAGTAATCCTGCCCTCTCCTCCTCTCTCTATGCTACCATCATTTTAGGGCACAGCAAGAAACCCTCTGGGATGCCGGTGCCTTGACATGACCGCCCAGCTTCCAAACTGTGAGAAATCTATCCTTGGTCTGTTTTATTTCTGTTTTATAAATTATGCAGCGAAGACAGTCTGCCCTTGGTCAACCTAGCTATGTGGCAGGACACGGGACCATGGCGGCTCTTCATAGTGATACTGCCCCACCCTTCCAGGCACAGGCACCTACAGGACAGTGAAGAAGGCCTGGTCTTGAGCAGCTTTAACAAAAGGTGGGACAGAGTACACCCCAGTCCAATGCCAGGCAAGTGCTGGCAGCCACTTGCTCCAATGAGAGCTGGCCTCAGCTGACAGAAAGGTGTTGACAGTGATGGCGGGACAGACTTTTACTCCTGCAGCGCCCACAGCTTCACTCTAAACCAGTGGTTCTCACCCTTCCTAACACTTTGGTCCTTTCACACAGTTCCTCATCTTGTGGTGACTCCCAACCATAAAATTATCTTTGTTGCTTCTTCATAACTCTAATTTTGCTATTGTTAAGAATTATAATATAAGCCGGGTGGTGGTGGCGCACGCCTTTAATCCCAGCACTCGGGAGGCAGAGGCAGGCGGATTTCTGAGTTCGAGGCCAGCCTGGTCTACAGAGTGAGTTCCAGGACAGCCAGGGCTACACAGAGAAACCCTGTCTCGAAAAAAAAAAAAAAAAAGAATTATAATATAAATAGCTGATATTCAGAATTTTTGGTATATGACCCCCCTCCAAGGAGTCGAGACTCAGGTTGAGAACCACTGCTATCAATGTTCCCAAACCTAGCTCAAAAGCTATGTGTGTATGTGTGTGTTGGGGCGTCTTGGACACCTAGTGAGGGTAACTTCATTCACACATCTCTGCAACTTCCCAAGCTGTGTAGGAAAAGCAGATTAGCTTAGTCACAACCCAGTGCTCCCCCAAAAGGTACAAGAAGGCTCTCCCACTGTCCTTAGTCTGGGGAGCTATACATGTTAATGCAGCAAAGAGGGGGCACCAGGGGTTTACTCTTCCATAAGAATTGTGAGCGAGAGCCTTAGAGATGCCCCCAACCTGAAACTGTGGCACATCTGGAGCGTTCTTCTAAGTATCTATTTAACATGCCACACCTGACGCAAGCAGAAAGAACTCCAGGGAGACCCCTCGTTAGTGTAACATCTAGGATGGAATGATCCAGCCCAGAGAAAAAGCCAAGGCAGGGAGAGCCTCAGATCCAGCCCAGTCCAGGTGACAGGGAGAGCTGAGATAGCCAGCCTGGGTGTCTTAGGCTCAACGGCAGGGTTTGGGGACAGGGCTCCATGTAGACGGCTGCAAGCTCAGGAAACACAGCAACAAGGGCTTGAGCTGCTAGCCAGGAAGGCCACTTCTACAAAGGGTGCAAGCAACCTGAGGTCACAGGGGGGTGCAAAACAGGAGTTTCCAGAACAAGTCTTGAGTTGGGTTGCAGACTTGTTACCCCAACACTCTCTGAGAGAGCTAGACCCAGTATCCTGACTCACCTCTGCACACCTTCGACCAGTGCAACCTCATCAGGCGAAGACGATATGTACACACAGGATTTTGCATCTGGAGATTTCTGGGGACCATCAACATCATCCCCACAATGGTCATCTTTCACTTGCACAGTGTGGCACAGGCAGATAGCCCTGAAAAACAGCTCCTCCCGTTCCTGCAGAGACAGGGACACTGTAACACCTCCTCCTGCAATGGGAAGACTGTGAACAAGACAAGAGCCTGGACAGGCCTGCAGAGCAGAGGCAAAGCCTCCTGGGGTGAACTGCTTTTAGTTTGTCTCAGTGGTTGCAAAGGAGAAGCACATGTGACTCCTTCATGCTCCAGAGTTGCCATAGCAACTCATATAAGTGCTAACAGGCAGTGAAGACTGAAAGGGTTTTGTTCATTGTGACACTCCAAGGAACAAGCACACTCAGGAATGGCCATGTCATGGGGAAAATGTGTCACCTATACAGTTGGCACACTCACTCCCGAACACTCCACTCTCTTGTTCCTGGCCACATGACCTGCCTGGCAGTGTCAGTCTGCTACCAGCCAAGTACCCTGCACTCCACATGACTAAACCCCTAGCTGTGTGCCTGCGGCCTGAGGCTCAGCTGTAACATAGCCCTGGATGCAGAAGCTAGGAGTCCTGTGCTAGAGCTGAATTATTGTACATGAGGTCGCAGTAGGCTGACCCAGATCTGAGCTCAGCTTACTCAGTACTGGCTGCACCCTGCAGTCAGAGTTAGAATACTCTGAGGTCCCCAGTAGCTGGGCAGCATGGTGGCCAAGGGTAGGCTTCCCCGACAACTAATGTGGTCCATGGGAATTGGGGTGGGGACAGGAGGTGTGATGCTGCTGGAAGGTCTCAGAATGGCTGCAGGGCATCCACTCCTTCATGAGAAAAGATACCAATAGGAGTTCACACTGAAGGAGCCAGTGGTCTGTGATCAGCTCATCCGTCCTTAATACTCTCTCTGGCTCTCCGCGGACCCCTCAGGCTCTGTAGTCATGACGTATCCCTTAGTCTCTGCATAACAGGGGCTGGCATGAACCCTCCCCAGGGACACGATGACTTGAGCACTAGTGTATGTGCCCTGCACATGTGTACACAAGCACAGCATATGTATACATGTATCTGTGGGCATGTGAATACATGTGTACGTCTAGGTGTGTGTGTGCACACATTTGCACGCACATGTGGCTTTGTACACATACAGACTGTGTATGTTCACATTACTTTTAGCACACTGCCTGCTCCACTTGCCCTGTTTTTTTGTTTTTGTTTTCCAGGTCAGTTCTAGCACAAGAATCACTGTCAAGACCTCCTGCCCCTTAGTAGGGGACACAGCATCACAGTGGATTCAAACATGACCTCATCAGAGTCCTTCAGGGGACCTGTTGTATTGTCCAAATGAAAGGGCCGCTTCTGTGAGTCAAAGCAGCCCAGATACTTGTATCCCTGGTCATGTGGCAGAGCCACACCCTCCACCCTGAGGACCTGCAACGTACCCTTCCACAGACACCTGGGGAAGAATCGATCATGTCAATGCCAGAAGAGTCGGGAAGGACCTGCCCATTGCAGATGACATGGGGTACGTAGACGTGGCCCTCGATGCAGCACTCCTTGAAGGCCATGTTGTTCTCTGTCAGGGTGCCTGTCTTGTCAGTGAAGATGTACTCCACCTGAAGGCACCACATATCCAAGTTAAGACTCACTTAGGCAGGTGACACATCTTGGCCCAAGTCTATCACAATCCTAGTGGGACAGGGACTTCTGAGAGTCTGTCCAGACAGGTCAGATCCAGTGTCGGGTATGGGTCCAGACAGGTCAGATCCAGTGTCAGGTGTGGGTCCAGACAGGGACAGTTTGAAGGGAAGAGGCCTCACACCGGTGACAGATATGAAACACTAGAAAGTGGCCCTGTGGACCTTGTCCTCCAGGGAACCAGGGCTCCGTGGATCTGTAAAGAGCAGGATGAGGGGAGGTCCTGACTCTCCTTAAGCAAGACAGCACAGAGAGGCAAAGGAGGAACGTTCTCTAGGAGTCTGAGAGGTCGAAGTTTTCAAGAAAAGAGGTTTGGAGGATAGGATACACAGAAGGAAAAGGGCAGAACACTTCAGAAAGAAGACCATGAAGTGCTGATGGCACCTCCAGCTTTAAACTCTAAATGAAGGTGAATCACAGGACATACACCCATCATGGATCACTGACCAGAGGAAAGGAAGGGCCAGCCATTCCCACAGCTCGGGGTGGCTGAGATGGGTTTAGTGTAGGAATGAATGGGGGTAGGGGTACAGACGGGACAGCCAGATCCTGTGCTCTATGAAGAGTCTTCCCAGGAACACGCTCTTAGAAACCCCACAGAAAATGCCCTCCCAGCCATGTGCTTAGCTTTAACAAATAAACCACAAACTCAGAGCATGGCTGTGCTGAGACTGTATTTAAGACAAACCTGCCGTTTAAACACAAGCCCAAAGCCCATGGGAAACATCCTCCAGGTCATCCAGCCAGGGAGGGTATGCAGGCCACATCCCTAAGGACACAGCAGGTAGCGGATTTCTAGGGTCTGTGACTATGGTAACAGAAGATTACAATGGACATTTGTTAGGTCTTAGTTATGCCAGGCACTGGACGGGACCTTGGTTGATCCTGACATCAACTCTTACCCAGTTTTAAATCAAAGGTTTAAAAACTGTTTTTAGACAAAAGAAAAAACAAAACAAACAAAAAAATCCTTCTGTGTATATATGTGTGTGTGTATATATATGGGTGTGTATGTATGGGTGTGCACACATGAGTTCAGGTGCCCGTGGAAGCCAGAAGAGGGTGTTGGATCTCTGGGGGCTGGAATTACAAGTGGTTGTATGCTGCCCTACCAACAAACTCTGGGCTTCTGCTGACATCACAGGGGTGGGAGGTCACATGGGGAACTGCACGAAGCCGCTGTGTGAGGTGGACATGGAAGGCAGTCATCTCTGCTTCACACACAGACACTGGTGGTGGGCACCTCCTATTTCACAGACAGAACTGCCATCTTGCTCTGCTGTGTAAACTGAGAGGCATGCTCACCCATATTCACTGGGCAGCTGGGGAAGCCACTGCTTTGTGTATTTACCAGCTGGTTTTGACTCAGTGGCCCAGTTTACTGAACCCAGGCTGCCTTGCTCAGGACAGGACAGAGTCAAATTCTGTGAGGTATTCTAGGCTGGGAGAGACATCCTGTCCCAGGGCATCCCTTGGCATTCCTCTTACACAGCACTTCCTCAGACAGACCACACACAGCACACAGGAGGCGGCACAGGAAATCTCCTAGTGGAATTGTCAGAAAGCTGGAGCCTTGACAGTATCCTCTTCAGTAACAAGTGCTTCCCCACAGCACGCGGGGACCTCTGCCTGTCAGTCTACAGACTGTTTACATGGTATTGCCAGGCAACCATAGGGCAGACTGCAGTGTCCAGTTCAACATGAATTATTTAACCAACTGCCATTTGCCGAATGGCCCTTCCCATGACATATGGCTGGGAAGAGGTCAGAGGCTCCCTTTGAGGTGGATGAGAGGGAGCGACGAGCCTTTCTGGAACATTCTTTCCTATGCAGCCATTCCGAGGCCTGCGGTCACAGATGTGGGTGCTTATCAGCCATCTTACTCTGTGGGACCCTGTGGCTTCATATAGAACACAGAGCACCAGCTATGTGCATCGGCCCTGTCCTCCCAGGCTAGGTCCCTGGATGGCCAACCCAGGTGGTGTGACTGTGGCCACACATCTGTCGTCTCATTCTGCATCAGTCTGGATAGGCAGGTCTCTGCTACTTATTTATTCTATGCACCCCGACACCCCAATCCTGAGCTAACGGAGCCATGGTTCTGCAGACCGTGCACCCATTAACTCTGTAGCAGCCCACCCCAGAAAACTGCCTTAGGTTTCTGTTTGCTTGTCTACTTACAAAATGTCATATATAAAAAAATAAAGCAGTACCTGAAAGCAAGTGCTGGGCCAGCAGCCTCACTGGGCCCCACCCTCGTTCAACTGCAAGGCCCAGAATAAGCAAGAAAGCCCAAGGACTCGGTTACTCTAATCAGCTAATGCAATCGGCTCTTCACATTGTCACGTTTCATAAAACCACACTGTTATGTAGCTCAGGTTAACAACATGCACTCAGGGGAAAAGAGTAAAGTACCAATGCACGTCCACTGCTACTCCTGCTTCTGACTTTCACTGCAGTACATCCACACGCTGAAGGTGTGACCAGATGAACTACCAGTTACTAAAGAGAACCCAGATCACTAGGCCGAAGTGGATGGTTGCAGAGCTAAGAACTCATACTGACCTGTCCCAACTCCTCATTGAGATCAGAGGTGTTGACCAGAGGCCCTTCCCCCATCTCCTCATCAAACATGTCTTCATCCCAGGTGATGAAGTAGGAGCCAAGGAACTTCTGCATCTCCACGGTGACGTACATGGATACCGGGATGATGTAATTGAAGAGGACCATGAAGGCCAGGAAGTCAGTGAAGGCCCTGAGGAACTGGGAACATTGGCTACATAAGGAAGCTGTAGGTCACCAAGCAAGGACAGAAAACCCAGAGAGGCCGTCCATTACCCTAGCCATATAAGCAAAGGTGAGTATTCCCAACCCAAAGACAAAGAGCTACTGGGAAACTTGCAGCTCCTTGCCCGTCATGTCTTGTTAAGATCAAGAGTGGAATTGAATGGCTGGTGTCTCTGCAAAGAGATTGGGACAGGAGCTCATACTAACTATACCGTCAGGGATGCAGAGAAGCCATGCTAAGTAGGGACCAATGGCCACTTTTGATGTTCATGATGTCCTTCTGTAAATAACAATCACCAAGCTCATGAAAAGATGGGATCTTTCTATACAGTGATTTTGACTTCAAAAATCACATTCCCCCACCCCACTTCCTTCATCCTTGCTCTGGGATTACAGGCCTGCACTGCCACACTCAGCTCAGAACGGCTTTCTGTATAGTTTAGTCACCAGGGAGAGACAGTCTGACAGATGGAGCACAGTCTCACGCAGGGTCTGTGCTTGCACACAGGGCTACATCTGCACACAGCCCCTCAGTACCCCTTGGTGCACACTGCCCTGCTCTGAGGTCAGAGCCTTTTGTTTATCTAGTTATCATAAAAGTAGTATTTATCTGGATGGTGGGATGCTGAGTTTTGGAAACATCAACATGATTTTGGTCCTTATACATCTCCTGTGGAAAGGACTACTTTCCAGACTTGTATGTTCTAGAACCCAAGACAGCAGGCAGTTCACGCCTGCCTACACCAGGTGCCAGAGAGGGCACTTGTCCTAGCTCTGCCAAGGCTCCATCCTGCCTGAAGCGAGTTCACCTCTGTAGTTTTCTGGCATCATCTTTTTGTGACAATGGCCTAAGGGTCACTTCCTTACACAAGGAACACGCCTCCTACCAGATTCCTCTGGCGTTCTGATTCAGTCTTCTGGTTGTACCACGGCTCATCTCGGAAGGGCTCACTCTGCCACACGTACTTCAGCACCGTGTTGATCAGGGCCTTGCTCACCAGGATGCAGAGGTACACGATCAGGAATGTATTCATTGACCTAGACGAGAGAGCCCAGCCTTCAGTGGCTGCTCCGGTCCTCCCTCACCCAGCAATGCCCTAGCGTGCAGTGTCCAGTCTGACCCGGTGAGACTAGACTCCAGCTCATTGCAGCTGCTGTTGCCAATGCTCAGGACACAGGACCAGAGCCATAAGATGGGAAGAACAGCTGCGTGCTGCCAAGCGGCTGATGAGCCTCTCTGAACCATGGGGACTCCCCTGCTTACAGAACAGGAGCAGCCAGCACCAGCTTCGCTGACCATCAGGCAGCACCAGAGGAACTTAGAACTTAGTGATCATCACTCTGGAGTGAACCCAGAGAAGGGCCCAAGGCTGGAAATGCCTGAGGCTGAATCAAGGTGAGGCAGATTTGGGGAGAGGCTCTGTTTTCCAGGTCTGTTTCTGAAGCCCATGCAGAGCGTTGTCCTGGCTGATGAAGGGTCCATTTTCACATGGCACACAGCGCAGACAGGCCCAGGGACAGCATCCCTAGTCCCTTGCCAGCACCCCACACATGGTCACTAACGAGCTCCCGGTGCCTCACTCTCTGACCTCAAACAGGACAACTCTGACAAGGGGCAGAGATGACACAACCTCAGACTCCACTCTCTCAGAAGTCACGTCCCTGTGCATTGTCTGTAGGACAGTGTCCACTCTGCTCACTGTGGCCTCAGTCAAACCACATCAGAACATGCATGGCTCCCATCAAGTCCCCCAGATCCAGCGCTCAACAGTGCCCTAACCTGAGGTTAGCCTGGATCAGTGGGTGAGTGGGGTACGGGCATCTGTAACGGACCCAGGGAAATGACTTACAGGTAGTGCAGGTAGCGTGTTAGCAGAGAGAGGAGGGTGTGGCTGTTCACCTTATCAGGAGGAAAGGAAGCAGGTCTCCAGAGTGATGGGCTCTGGAGTCAGCAGCCACAGTCCTGGAGGAGTGGCCCCCAAGGACAGTGTCAGCCCAGAGAATGCTACTCTATCTACAGGGGCCAGTGAGGGCTGGGCGGTGGCAGCAGGGGAGTCGCCTTACTTCTCCACAGCAGATCTCTTCTGGGACTTGGACTGGTAGTTCAGGGCCATCTTGGTCTCCATGCCTGTGTAGATAGCCACACCTGGAAGCAGAAGACTCAGTGATGTCCGCCCGCATGGACAGGTCACATGTCTAACATAACCCGCGAGCGAGTTCTGAGCTGGCTGCACTCTTCACACTACGACTTTGCCTGCATAGGATCTAATCTGCACTTTAGACTCTTTAGTATTAACACACTGGGTAATCTGGCAGGAGGGCGCAATGTATTTCAGTTCATCCGAACAGGCACTAGCACTGTCCATGGAAGGTGCTAACAGTGACGTGCAGACTTAGAGGAATTGCCTGCATTCGTGCTCTGTGGCCGTGGTCAGGGACACAGCCTCATGCCCTGAGTCACGCATTAATAAGCCGTGGCCTTCACTGAAAGGCTGGCTCTGCGGGGTCAGGCTACACAACACTGCTTATCTCTGAGCAAAAGTGGCTCCTGCACCCAATCCACATCGGCAGTACTTTAAGGCCTCTATGGCCTCTCAGGGTGTTGCAAGAGTTTAGCTTGCTTAGTGTGGCCTGGACTTTAGAAATGATTGCCAGTGGTTTACAAATTAAAATACTTACCAAAGATCTTCTCGGTGTTTTTGAGTGTGGCTCCTCTGAGAAGCAGGTTTTCTGATCCCAATGGCCTGGAAGACAAGGAGACCAGAACTGGTATGATGCAGTGGAGGGCGGGCGGGGGTTATGCAAGACTGAAAATCAACCCAATCTTCCCAACAGGAAGCTGTGTAAGTGTGTGTGCTCAGACTGAAGATTGCCAAAGTCCATCTGCATAAACACTGGGCTTTTCTGAGGTGGAGACTCTGTCTGCTGGACTGTATCTGGCCCTCTGGTTTCCTGGCCTGCCACTCTCGAGGACTGAAGCTTCACAGCGACACTGGAGACGCTTCAAGGAAGTAGGTCACCTCCAACTTACTCTCAAATAACCAGGAGCCTGTTTCAATGACACCCTACCAGAGGCCACAGAGCCCTCAGATGGGGTCCCTATCTGTGTCACCTGTAACACCAGGGGATGTCTGAAATGTCACCGAGATCTGCTACAAAAGCAACCTGAAGGCAGGGCCAGCAACCTCTCCTAACACAGCTCCACTGAGAAGGTGGCTGGGTTGGGGACCTCACAATGGTCTAGAAAGGCTAAAACTTTGAGTTTCACTCATCCTTCAGCCGTTTTTTCTCCCACCCTCAGGGCATGGAGACTCTTACTTGGTGTAAGCACATTTTTGAGTTTGAAGGGAATTTGGGACTCCAGGGCCCCAGTAATGGAAGTTCAGCATGCAAAGATTATTTGCAGGGAGTGGCTGGCTGTAAGCCTTCCCTCCAAGCAGTGAAGGAAAATTCAAAGGAGTGAACTAAATGTACAGATTCTAGCACTGCTAGTGTCCCAGTGACCCATGGTGCCAGGAAGAACCTGTTTGCCTTTAACGTATGTGCTTACTCATCTGCCCTTTCAGAGAGAAACAACTGTACACAGTACTACACACTCAGTAGTTCAGACTGCAGTCTGCAGGAGGCAGCGGGGAGCAGGGGATGCGGGGGACCTGCAAGCTGCCCAAGCCCCTCATGGAGTGGTCAGCAGGTAAGTGGCAGTCCTTTTGGTCTGACAGGCACTGACAGCACAGCTCCGCTGCCTGTGCAGGGCTGTCGGCTTCTGTTAGCAACTTGCTGACAATAATTCATGTCACAAGCGTTAATGAAAACAAATGGCCTCACCTTAAATGGGTCCTGAGAGCTCTAAAAATAACTTACTTGACAGAATCCTCTGCTTCTAGTGTGGACAGATGGAAGAGGAAATATGACCGAGTGGACTGGGAATCTGGATGGGAGCTGAGACAAGCAAACGTCTGCCTCCTGGTTGCATTACTCCAAATATTTATAAACATCTTAAAAATCCAAATGACAAGCTCAACAACTTCGATGGTAAAAGGCTAAGCTAAAGCTAGTATCAAAATATACAGAGCATTAGGACCATGGTCTCCAGCTTTGGGCCACAGCCTTGTATCAGTGTGAAGTTCAGGAGCCACAGTACTGGCTTCCTTGGATCATTGACGGGCAGTGAGAAAACCCTCCATTTGTACCTTCATCCGACATCAATCAGCTCTCCACAGTCTAGTCTCCAACGCAGAGAGGAGCTCTTCTCTGAAAACAGAAGCAATGCCTCCACCCTCCTGCAAGCCGGCCTTCCACTAACACTAACCTGGTGGTGGATGGCTACCACAAAAGCAGGGTAAGACCGCTGCTGGCACCAGACTATGATCCAATACTCGGGAGGCAGAGGCTGGAGGATCGGGTGTTCAAGGCCTCTCTAGCTAATTATAAGATAAAGTCTCAAAAAAGTAACATAAACAAACAAACCAACCATTAAAAACGCAAGCTAAGAAGTAACAGACTGTTCCCTTAAAGCAGCACCTTCCTGAGTCCCATGAGAGACAGGCCAGACACGGTACTCTAGTGACTAGTTACTCCGTGGTACTTCTCCCATAAGAAATCTTCTAGGCAAATGTTTCCTTTTAGCATAGAATGATACCAGGATATCAGTAATTTGGAAACTGCTTAAACTTCAAGAAAAGGTCAACTTCAAAACCTACTGAAAGCCAAATTCCTAAGCAATGAACCCAAACCCTTCCTCATCAAGCATAGCAGAGGCAATAGCCTGAGGTACAGAGCTCTCCACTGGGCAGCATGGCAGCAGGTGGTGTGCACATGGGGACATGTGAGGTGGCTCCCAGGGCCAATCACCGGCCGGCTCTCGGGTACATCAGTGCCCGATGTCTGCTCTCTCTCAGACGCACATCCTGACTGCAGGCACTGAGGCACGGATGATGGTGCAGGAGGCCAACCAGCACACAGTGCCTCCTTGCAGATAGCCAGGTTCCCTCATCCTAGTTGGGCCTGAAAGAAGCCCTGAGCATGTCAACCCAGTAATGGCCACGCACAGGCTAGTCTGCTGTCAGACAGACCTCTGTATTAGAAACTTCGGATTTCACAGCCTGTGAGGGTGCCGCTCACAGTTGGTTTGGGTCCTTCCCTCACTTGAAAATCATGCTATAGGCTTCTGATCTGGCGCAGCTGGAGAGGCTCCACACTGGGGGTGTCATGTGTGTGGTCCCAGCATCCGCATCACATCAACATGCGCAGACCAACCCCAGAGTAAATGTGCGAATGGGCTTATGAGGCAGGCCCGCCTTCTACACTAAGTAGCATGGCAGGACCCCGTCCCGTGTGAACTTCTATTATAACAACGGAGAGGGTAAAGGCCTGGACTCCAAGGAGACTCACTCACCTCACTACGGGGTCGCTCAGGTCGTTGTAAACATTGATGCGCCCCACAAACCTGTCAAGAGAAAAGCTCACTTCATTACTAAGTCTGCACCATAGCTTGCTCATCCCACTCTTCCTACGTTCTCTTCTTACTCTCTGTGCTTCTTCTCCCCTGGCTTACGTGACATTTCTTAACACAGAGACATAAAGAACAGTGAGGCTTCCTTCTGGAGAAGCTGCAGGTCGGCATGGTGCTAGTCTACAACCACAGAGTGACCCTCCCAGCACTGCACCCGGTCTTTCCTGGTCAGTGTGCTTGGCTTACTTGTAGAGGTCAGGCTGTGGCTGTTCACACTCAATGGTGGCGTGCAAGCTGTCAACATCCGCCTCTGTGTGGAAGCCCTTGGTATCCTGCACTGCGTAGTGAGTCTGCAGAGGAGAGGAAACACGAGCCACCCCCTGAACCTCACTGCACCTGGCTTCTGGCACCCATCCAGAATTTGATCTTCAAGTACGTCCTATGGGTCCTACTGTGAGTCTGGATGTCCTACTGTGAGTCTGGACGCAAAGGGTCATGGGAAGATGAGACTCAGCTGTTGCTCCGCATGGTGGAGGACAGGAACCCTGACTCTCCATGCTTACCCAGCATCCTCATCTTAAAACTAGCAGGATGAGGGGCGAGCCCGGGACTTCTTTAAACCCGGCATTTGATGTCAGTCACTCAGTGTTTCTCTTCTTTCACACAAAGAACTGTAGCTCCCAGGAGATGCTAGAAGTACAGTTGGTCTCATTTCCCAAACTCTGCCACCAAATGTCCTCCTGTCACTGCTCTCTGAGGCTGTTCAACTGTTTAAACAAGGTCCTTCAACTCTGAACTAAGTGCATCCAAATCCCCAGGAGGCTGCTAGGCTACTACTGTTAGGTCTCCCTTCGGATCTCAGGGTTGTAAGTCTGAGCAGGAGGCCCAAGAACTACACTTCTGACAGATGCCAGCTGGCATGTGTTGCTGTCCAGGGCCATATAGCCTAGCTAGCACCTGTGGGACCATGCACAGGTAAACATGGGGATGTATCTCCTTTACCTAGGAAGTAGAACACAGGAACACAGATGTGTATCAGGGTCTTGTCAGAAGGAAGAGTGCCCCTTCGTCTCTGCTTACAGCTCTAATAGTGAGTGCTGGGATTCGTGGCACCATGTGACTCGAGTGTACAGGTGGTTACATCACCATTTGTGTAGGTCAAACTCTTGCTGTGCATTGAGAATCCGGGGGAGGTTTCTAATCAGGGATTGGATAGCCTTTCACAGATGTAAAAAGTCCCAAAAGGGCAAAAGGACAAAAGGCCAAGCTGAAGTCATGTGACTGGCATTAGACTCCCTGAGGTCAGCAGAAGCCTTCCCATAATCTGTTCTTTCAAGGAAAGGTTCCACCTAACTCCAGCCCAAACCAAATGGACAGAAATGATGCCAGGAACAGCCAGGAGCATGGTGCAAATGCACAGAAGTGCGGCATGCAGCAAGGACTGCCCAGAACAGAATTGAGCCCCTGGGTCTCAGATCTATCCAGACACTGGGCCATTCTGTCTGAGTGGTCACAGTCTCCCTGGAATGGAATCCTGCCCTCAGACAGGGCCACAGAGCAGGCTCTGTCCAGCAGAGGGGAGTGGCTTACAGTTAAAGCCCTGAGCCCTGTCCAGGTACAGCAACTGAAGTCACTAGGAGCGTCTCCCCACAAGACCATTGCTTTGTAGTGCCTAAAGGAGGATACTGAGTCCATCTCCTGAGGTACTGCAGGCCTGTACACAACGGTGCCACAGACAGCTCCCAGAGATACCACAGCTTCGCTAACCCTACGACAAAGTGTCCCATCTCACAGCACGGCTGCCTGCACCTGCAGGAATCACTCCTAATGTTCTAGGTTCTCAGAGACTGACACCGAGGCGCTGCCAGAAGCACCAGTTTGCCAGCTTTCAAATCTCACAGAACTTTCTCCTTCCAGACTTTTAAGTTAAAAGACAACCCTGTGAATTAACAGTATATTTTTTTGTTCACCTAATTGTCAAAGTTTTTAAATCTAGTGTAGAATTCCATATGGAGTTCAAACAATTAATTATAGTTCCTGGAAATGTCTTTCGATAATGTAACAAGACACTGACGTAACAGACACGCTCTGCAGAATTCTGCACAGACAGTTCTCTAACACGATCATCACCAGCAAAGACAGGGTTTTACTAAGTGAAACCACTGTTGTTCTAACAATCTGTTAAGTCTGAGTAATGGTGGGTGTGTCTGCTCACCTCAGACCTTCATTGTCACAAACATTAAGGGAGGAGAGAAGAGAGGTGAAAATGGGAAAGAGCAAAAGGAAGGGAAAGGGCCAGAGGGGAGGACCCTGGGAGGACCCCTGAGTGGACTCTGAGCACAGACATCCTTAGTCTGTCCCCAGGATGTCAGTCTGGCTGAGACCCTGAGCTGCACCCCAAATCTAGGTACATTACTTTATGGCTCGACTCTCCGTCTAAGCTGGCTGTGGTGACATGGCATGTCCCATCTGCCCGGTTGCTGGAGAGAAAGATCAGGTCACAGGGAAAGGTCTCATCTTCCTTCACCATGACAATGTCCCCAACCTGCAAGACATGAAGATAGTATGGTTAATTAGAAGTGACCTTTGTGCGACAGCTTACTGTGGGCTGGAATTCACTCTCCTACTGTATCCTGTACCACAGTCCCTTAGGATACAGATGTGATTCTGCCAAAGACCCATGTGGAGGTGTTCTGCTGTAATGAGGCTTTGCTGGGCCTCTGTGGGCCAGCTGCGGACCAGAGCAGCTCCAGGGGAACCAGGAGAGCATGTCGCAGTGAAAACCCAGACAACTCTCTAACAAGATTATCACTAATCCAGACCAAGAAGGATGAGCTCATGCTGGGTTAAAGTGCTTGAGAATGAAGCAGGCCTTGGGGGTGGGGGCTCCAATCAGAAAGGGGTCTTCCAAGCTCACTCTGAGAGTTCTCACTGGCCCATCACTGAGCTGCCCTGGTAGTCACAACGACAGATGGCTCAACTGCAGGCTCAACTGCAGGTTAGTTAGCCTATATGTGACCATTAACTAAGCCAGTCACCTTGATTTGTGTCTTCCATTATTTCCTCAGCGGTGTAGGCATTTCTAGGACAGCTGGGATCCCTTTACAGTCATGAAAACTACATGAAACCCATGTCTCATCATAACAAGGGATCTGACAAATACAATGCTAAACTAAAAACTAAATGGAAAGGAAGGGTGGGTTCCAGAATACAGGAGTGTCTGATGGAGCCAACTGCAGTCAGTCCAGTCATCCCAATCACGGAGAGCTGAGTTAATGTAGTATGTCATACACCATGCACACGCACACACATGCATGTTCACGCACACATGAACACACACATGAACATCTGCACTCACATATATACACACATACCCACACATATGCACATGCCTGAGTACACACACCCTTCACTAATAGAGGAGTACAAGAAGCAGGAGGAAAGTAAGACAGCTAACAATGGAGCTCTGACTTAACTTCACTCTTAAGACAGTAACAACAGAAACGCAGGGAGTGTAAATGAAAACATTAGATTAAATTAGAAAGTAGACAAGCCCTAGCAGCACACTTGGACTCCAGGGCCAGGCAGAGCATAGTTAATCATTGTGTCATGTTTGTTGATATGTGTGGGAGGCCTGCCCTTTCTGAAGGGAAATGGAGGAGGAGTGGGTCTGGGGACAGCGGAGACAGTGAGGGGAGGAACTGGAGGGAAATGGAGGAGGAGTGGGTCTGGAGACAGGGGAGACAGTGTGGGGAGGAACTGGAGGGAAATGGAAGAGGGGTGGGTCTGGGGACAGGGGAGACAGTGTGGGGAGGAACTGGAGGGAA